TAACAGATTGAAGGCAAGAGGGACTGAGGTAAACAATGCATAACCTACGTAGCGAGCTTGAGCAAATGTGTGGCGGAACAAAAAGACAAAATTTATTAGGAGCTATAAAAGACAGGAAATTGTGGAACGCCATGTTCACCGACATCACAAATGGACAATGTACACTGATACTATGATGGTTTTCATATTAATTTGCGGTTCTGAGAACAATGTTTGTTTCCTTCCATCAAAACTAACTCACTCCCTACTCCCTCGGCTAGGTTTAGAATACGCCGACTGTATCCCTGCAAAACACACTTCTGGGTTTTTTACTTGTAGACTTGTGTATATGAAACTGTGTCTACCTTTCTTACACTTCTATAGAAACGAACCTCTGCCTCATCAACATCATGTCCCGTGATTGGGTGTGGTCGTTGAGTCGCTAGGCAGCTGGGCACATAGATAGTTCCATCTACATATCTGGGTTGAAAACTGGAGAGATGTTAATTTACGCGTAGTGTGTCTTGGGTAACTAGCCCTGGCGGAGCCCATTCCTCTCCAGTTCAAACCAAACCACAGCTGATGTCCTCCAAGTTAAAGGCTTGTGGACACTGAACCTAGTCTGCCCCATCTGCTAGAAAGACGTTGACTCTGCAAGAAGGTTCATCCCAATAGATGTCTACCTATCCTCCACACAAGGAAAACCTGTTTGGGAAACCGGTTTAGTCACCGACAAGCCGATAGCATTGGGTTATATGGTACCACTAGTTTTTATCTATTAACTCACTGGGAATTTTGTTCTATAAGAGTTATATTCCATATTAAATCACCCAAAAATAGTTTATATGTCTTTAAGTTAATAAAGTCAACTGGCTGCAAAAATGGGCTGCTACCGGTTCTTCTGTGAGTGGCGACAAAGATGCAAAATTTTCCACTCTCTCTGTTCTTGAACCGCGAAGACCTCAGTTTTCAGTGTTGATAGAGTTCATAAACGTGTATACAAATGATAGGTGATGAATTATTTTCGACTCTACAATGCCTTTCCCCACAGACGAAACTTCTCAAGCCTGTTACTACTCTATCGCTATTTCCATGGCAAATATTCTCACAACATACATCATTAGTTCCATCAGTTTAGACATTTACAGCTAAGATCCGCTCTCATTGGGACAAACCACCTCCATACCCGTCGTATTCTATTAGTAAAGGTAAGTTCTATTCGCTCAGTTTCTTCCCAATGATCATTAATTGGTGGAACATTTTCGAGAGAGGATACTTCCCTAATCATTGCAATTTTAATCTCTTCAAGTTGAATTTAAACTGTGATCTTTCCTGTATATCCTCATAATCTGCACCTCTTACCACCTCATTTTATGTTCTTAAAACAACATCATTTAGTGACCCTCTAACTTGAGCGGCTCTTAGGCCTTACATTGGGTGAAGAGTTAGTAAAAATACATGGTAAGTTAGTGTTTCCTATGTTTTCTCATTGAAAATAAATAAGAAATGTTTTCTTTTTTTAATTTTTTATTTTTAATAATTATCTTCATCTTTGTTCATGCGCATAATGTTCGCTCGAAATGTTATTATCTATTTACTTTTTTTGGATATGTTTTCGTATTAATGAGTTACTTATATATATAATCATCAAAATGTAATGGTTTTTAAACAGTATTGGGATGAAAAAGATTTTCTCTGCAAAATTGAAATCCGGTTTCGGCAAAATCTGAATAAAACTCTTTGAAATTTAATGTGTGCATACATTTCTTTTAAAACATCCTGTTATATGTACAGAACTTCCACAAAAGAACAGGAAATTTGGTACAGTTTATTTAATTGTTGGAATTTTTGTTACAGTTATTTGAAACAAAAGCAAAGAATACAATTTTTTAAGTTCAGCTGTAACATCGGTAAACTGATTTTTAGTTATCAAACTCTGGCAAAATTTCTTGGTATTTTTTCAATCCCCAAATTGGATGTTTTTTCTTAAAGAGAACAATCACCTCGGGTTGAAAACTTGATAACTGCGGTATCCTGGAACAAAAGATGGTTAAAAAATTTATATGTTCGTTATTTTTTTTAGTTCATTCATATAGTAAAATATATATTTATTTTTTATGTTAGTTAATTTTTTTCATCATATCGTAAATCTAAAATTTCCTGTTTTTTTTTTTTGGTCGACAGGCACCCTTTAGATTGTACAGCTATGTCTCAGCCAATTTATGAACAAGTTATGGTTCGTCAAACTTTAAAATATTTCAAAGCCATAAAAAGCCCAGAGAGAACATTTTTAATTTCATCTGATGAATATACAAACTTTTTCATAATAAAATTGTGGTCTGTAAACCATACGCACAAAACAATAGTCAATCACAAAAATAATCATTCTTCAATTATTTTGACCAAAATCAAAAGAAGCTAAACCATTTTCAAACCAAGAAATCTGAATAATATTGATAGCTGTAGAATATACACAAGAAACCTCTGCAAAGGTGGGACATCTACAGAAACCTCTGCAAAGGTGGGACATTACAGAAATGTCTGCAAAGGTGGGACATCTACAGTATCCCTGACTGTCACCTGTTGATAGAATATTTTATTAAATGTGAAAAGAAGTGAGTATATTTGAACCAAGGTGAGGTGCAATATTCTCACCTCACATGTTTTATATGCGGGCTGTATAAAATGGCCTAGCTTAACTTATATCCCGGGTATAAAACAGGCTAACATAGAATAATCCCGGTTATAGTCTGAGTTGTTACACCAGATCCCATAGTATGAAAGTCAGGCAATTACAACCACTTGACAAGGCTATCAATTGTCTTTTTTCCGAGTACATATAACTAAAGCTGCTTGATCATGAAATCATCTCGGCAATCATGAAATATTATCATGTTATTATAGTAACATGTTGCATGCTGTCGTCAAAAGCGACAGTACAGACAAAGGACTGTCGCAAATTAAAATTTTTTTGAGATTACCATCGTCAGTCACAAGGTGTTGGTGTACTGGTAGCCGTGACATCAAAGGGCAACCAATAAAATCACTGGTAACTATAGAAAGGTAAGTTTAACCCTATTCCAGGCAGGTTATTTTGGGTACCGTGAAAGTCAGTGGGCGGCTTTTTGGCACAAATAATGGCTTAAATTACTTGAAGCTTTGAAGTATTATTTTTTTATCTATTTCTTTTAATTTTTCATTTGGGTCACAATTTTTTTATTTTCATCACGTCATCAGACCCAAAAATTTGAAATGTAAATAAACTAAATGCTTGAATGCAATGATAATAGTGATATTAGCCGTTTCCCTATAAGGAAACATTTGGCATTCATTGACCGTACAGCCAGTACTGTTGTCGGTTGAAATTTATAAAATCTTTCTTTAAAAACAATTTTTCCGTAAAATAAATTCAATCCAGTAGTTGTTATCGCTGTTTCCAGTATTGATGCGTTTTCCTTCCTAATCTTTTGTTTGTAGTAGGGTTGAGTGTCTACATCTTGATCATCTCCGTATTTTTTCTTCGAGTTACACGTGATATACATTTTAGATATTGTTACTGTTGATGGGGTTTCTGTTATTTGATACAGATCTTTGTTTATGAATCCGTAGTGTCTGTGCACCGGGTTCAAGCTTCATTCGCTCAAAGACATTTTAAACTATTGATCTGAGAAAACGGTTGTATACAGCTGACAGTTTAAATATTTCTGAATGGGTTTGGCACCATGCATGAATTTCATATGAAACTCTCGATCTGATGAGGCTATTGAAGAAAATACCTAGAGTTTTCAAGTTAATCTTTTGGCTTGTAGCAATTTGTATTGTTGGGCAAGACTATTTCTAGTGCAGCTAATTTTATGTTCAATTTCAAATTTGACATAACTGATCCTATACACCGATCTCTTTCAATAGCTTCATTTACAATAAAGAGACTTCATGCTAAATCTACTTAGAAGTGCACTGAAGTCATAAATTACCGGTGTTCGTAATACCATGAGTTATTTTTTTTAAATTACGAAAATTCTCACGTCAGCAAAAATATGCTGATGTCAGCATTTATGAAAGAAATGGTGTATTCATTAATTTCAAAATTTCATTTAGAATAACTGAACATATTTTTGCAGCATTTTCTTAATCATATCACCCCAATCAAGGCAATAAAGCCACTAAGACTCAAGGGGGTCACTGAGTGTTAGAGATTATGATAAAAATATACTATTAAGGAGAAAAGACAATAAAAGAACAAGAATTAAGAAGACAGAACAACAATTCACATTGCATTTGAAATTTTGAAGATCGAAGTTGAAAGGTAAGTAAGAAACCGGAAGAAATTTCCACAAGCGAGATATACGATAGAAGAGAACTTCCGGTTACCTTTAGCCATTTCAATTGTGAAATGATGAGACTTTACCGCTAATCTAGTACTGCGTTTAAATTTATAAAACCTAGGTACCAAAGAGGAAAGTTCATCAGAACAATTACCATGAAAGTATTTATAGAAAAGGCTCAATGAAGCTACATTACGGCGGTGCGAAAATGACTGGAGCTGAGATAACATGTCAGGATCAATAACATTGCAGATTCTTCTTTGAACTATATCAAGAATCTCTAAATATAGTGATTTTACAAACGTAGCTTAGATGTGGAACAAGGCCGAAAGTCGGGGACACCCAGATCGAACTCACTACTCAGTCGTAATTGTTCTAGCGAGATACGCTTGCTAACCATTACACCGCCTCGAGGTGCCCAAAGAATCTCTAAATATATAGCAGCCCAAATGTAGCAGCAATATTCAAAGGAAAGACGAACGGTAGCTGAGTTTCAAGTCAATGTCGCAACTACAAAAAAAAAATTATCGACTGAAAGTTATGCGCGGGCAAAAAGTCATTCGCTACCTGCGATAGAGTGAAGAGGCTTTATAAATGCTGAGATTGTTGCTTGGTTGAATGAACTGTGAAAACATTATCAGAGCGGAGACACTCAGCGATGACCAGATTGTTAACGTAGTCACGAAAGAACAATACGGAAATATAGATGATATAGATAAGGAAATTCGATACTGACACCTCCTGCGGTCTCCATTAACGAAGCGATGACATTTTTTGTGAAGAGCTATAGAGATGATAAATTCGACAGTGTTCAATTGATGCAACATCATCAAATGCTATCACTGGCAAAAACAAAAAAAAACAAAGCTGCAAAAAAAACTTCAAGCTGCAATTACCTCATAAATCAATAATCGATTATCAACTCAATGAACTTTATTTACATGAACGTAGCCTTTTCGATGAACACATTGTGCTTTCTGTGCACGTACATAACAGTATTTTTTAAAAGATTTTCTCTATATCTCTGAGATGAAGTATTAAATTATTTACGTTATTCGAACTGTTTATCACATCGTCATTGCCATTATTTACAACATTTCAACCGTTGTACGCTGCGGCCTTCTTCAGGTGACTGGAATTTCGTCCACCAGAGAAGATTGTTCTAGTTCCACGTGTCATGCCTCTTCCGGATATCTCGAAAGGCTGTCAATAAATATAGAACAGTGGCCACGGAAGTCGGAATTCGCTAAGGGGCGTATGACAGCTCATCTAACGTATTGGCCAGCCACGAAAGTGAATGGTGCTGGAGCGATAGACGATCAATGCAAGACAAATAAACTATAAACTCAAAACCTTTGTCCAGAAAAGAAAGCTCTTGTCAGAAAACAAGAAAAAAATTAAATAAAAAGCTCAACCGTAGTACCTTGTCTGTCGTTTTTAATGAAACATGCATATATATATATATATATATATATGAGAGAGAGAGAGAAAAAAGAAAGAAAGAAAGAACAATGGTCACGGAAGTTGGAATTCGCTAAGGTGTGTATAACAGCACACCTAACGTATCGGCCAGTCACGAAAGCGGGTGGTGCTGGAGCGATAGACCGATCTTTGACCGTCATGGTGAAAAGCACGCGTCTACATTTGCGTCTGTATTTGCAAACGTATGATCGATGCCGAGAAAGAGAGCACAGCGGCGATGACAGAAGTCTATATCCCGATACTGGATGAAACTTACTGCTGATGCAGATCTTTGTGGAAATAGCAAATATTCAAAGAAGAGTATCGAAGAGAAGAAAGTTCAACGACATTTAATCACGAGTCAGTTTCGAAAAGGCGCCTAATTTCTACTTGTATTTCGACAGCCGACATTTCATCGAAAGGGATATTGCATTAATATTCCCGAACCTGTATTCAATTCCAATGCAAGTCAAATAAACTATAAACTCAAAACCTTTTGTTATAAATAAAATAATTTCAAACAGATGGTAGGACAGAAATCTCGTATAAAAATGATTGTGCTCATATTTGCAGTGATCAATTACTCAAGGCGGGGGTTGGACTACTTTCGAAAACTCAGCGATACTAAATTTTAAATTTCGCTGATCGCAAAATTTAGAGCGATTTTTTTTTTTAACAAGCTGACTTTATTCTAAAAAAAGAGAAAGAAAACAATTAAAAAATTAGTAGTGCTGGGCTTTTAAATGTATCCCAGTTTTCTATTTCTAGCCCAGTCAGAATCTGATTAACAAACAAGTGAAGGAACACTTTTATTTTACAACCATGTCATAAAACTTTTTACCATTAGGCTTAAAATCTAACCGAATCTGGAAACTTTGAGCAGAATTTTTTCTTTAAAATAAGCTGAACTAACTTACGGTATTCAGTCTAGAAGGCAGTCAATTTCAACTGTCATCAACTCGTTATTTGTAGCCCAATTTATATATATTGCCTCGCTCCATGTAACTGTCTGGCAAAATGACGTCTGACATGAAGATACGAAACGGCGGTGTGTAAATGAATTTCTTCACACAGAATAATTACTAGACACTGATATTGGTCAACGATTGCTGAACGATAACGTTCACGAAACAGTGGATATGAGCACAATCAAACGATGTGTAATACGTCTCGGCGATCATGAATTACTGGTGGGAAGTTTCAGCCTCTTCTTTCCATACCACTACAACCTACTTCTGACGCTGTTGGCCAACACAAACAGAAAGTATTATTTGTGCGATAATAACGATGAATTTTATCCAGTAATTTACCGTTGTGACGTCAGTTACGAGATGGTAAAATCAGCTCAGGTATCAAATAAAGTTAATAGATTACCTTCGTAATTTTGCTTTTACTTCTCTTATGTGTCGTTTCCTTTCAGAATATAGGTGATCATGGCTCTCCACAACTTTTTCTCTCTTGTAACTCTAAGCAATGTTTAACTCTCTGCTATTTCTCCTAGTTCAGGTTTTGCCACCACTTTACACAAGATGGTTAGGTAGATTATTCTCTGTTTCCAACTCTTTCTCTCTCTCTCTCTCTCTTGCCTTCAGTGTATCATGTGAGTGACATTCTCTCTCTCTCTCTCTCTCTCTCTCTCACTCACTCACTCACTCACTCACTCACTCACTCATTCATCTTCACGCTTATTTTTTACCTGGAAGGCTGATCATTCCAGATATGTACAGGTACTGAGTTTAACTAAGCAGTGAACAAATCATTAATGGCTAATCAAAGTTGTTTTATTTGACCAACTAAACGGCATAGTTGCCCAGGGAAGCCATTGCAAATACACTCAATTTATTTTGCTATTTTTCAATAATTGAATCAAAAGTGCCGCAATTAAGCGGTGACTTAAGTGGAATTTACCGTGTGTAATGATGATAGACACTCCCGTCGTTTTCGAGGTATGAGCGTCTTTCTGTTCAGTTTTTATACTTATGCTCCATATAAGACAACAATCCTGCACGGGATTTGCAAGCAAATCCACACGAAGGACATACTGAAGGGTTGACCGTCATATGGGCTGATGTATTCGCCCGGGATTTTAGTGTTAATTCTTAATTCTCTTAGATGGTTGAGACGATTATTTTCAAAGTTAGTTATACCTCGGTAGCAGGGGTTTCTCCAGTTTGCTCGCTTTTCAACAGCAAGTACGAACTCCTCTATAGAGATGTTTGCATCATTTAAATTGTATTTGTTTGTCCTTGAAGCGTAACCAATGAAAAAAATTGGCTATACATGAGGATTTTCAGCATCCGATCATCACTCATTCTGATGACATGACCAGCCCATCTGAACTGTGATTGCATCAGAAAGGATTCAATACCACCGACACCACATTTGATAAAAAGATCAGGGTTAGGAATTTTGTCCTGCCGTGTATAATCGCATATTGAACGAAGACAGCGTTTATGAAAAACACCAAGTTGATTGATGTGCGTCCTGTATGGCGTCCACGATTCCGACCCATAAAAAAGAGTGGTGAGAATAACTTTTCGATAGACACTGATTTTTGTTTTCAGTGAAATCCCATGAACACCCCATATGTGATGTTTAAGGCATTTGTTGCCTTTCATATTTCGTTAACTATTTCGTCATCCAAAGAGGCACTTGAATTGACTTTGCTTCCTAAGTACGAGAACGATTTCACATACTTCAGGTTGTTGCTGCCAACAGTAATGGGAACGATTGGAAAGGTATTGGCAGGGTTTTTTTGTTTCACACACTTGACCTGCGTAGGTGTAGGTCTTGGTTGATGGACAACTTCAGTTTTCTTTATGCTTATAGTTAATTGGAATGCATTGCAAGCAGTGGAAAAACGATTGACGAGTGCTTGAGCTTCTTCGATGAGGTGGCCACGATCGCAGCGTCATCAGCAAACAAAAGATCACGAATAATACTTGCTCGAGTCAGCAATTTTGATTTAAAACGTTGATGGTTAAAGAGGCCGCCATTTGTGTGGAATTCAAATTTCACACCCATGTCAAGATCACTAAAATTATGACCGAAAAGAAGAGAGCGAAATGTACAGGAGCCATGACACAACCTTGTTTTGTGTCATTTGTTACAACAAAGGTTCCTGAAAACTCTTCATTAGATAGAACAGATGCTTTCATTCCATCGTGAAACGAAATGATGATATTTAGCATACTTTCAGGTATGTCAAGCCTTTTGAGTATTTTCCAGAGGGCTCACCTGTTTGCAGTAACAAACGCTTTGGTCAGATCGATAAAGATGATATAGAGTTCATGGTTCTTCTCGCGAACGTTCTCAGCAACCTGACGAAATGAAAAAATCATATCAATGGTTCCATGACCTGAACGAAAATCACACTGAGATTCACGATAGATGTCATCAATGATATATTTGATTATTCTGTTGAGAATAACACGGGCGAGAATTTTGCCAGCGATTCTTAGAAGTGCAATGCCAAGGGAAATGATCACATACAACCTTTTTACCTTTGTTCTTGAGCAGATGCTTTATGCAAGCACCTTTGTAGTCCTATGGAACAGAAACAACATTACATATGACTTTTAAAAGCTCAAGGAGTTTCTAACCAGACTCTTCCTACCATATTTAAAAATTTCGAGGAGAATAGCATCTTTAACCGGTGCTTTGTTCGAGGACAAATGCTTGGTAGAATCCTGAATTTCCTTTAGGTATGACTCAAGAGACAACTGGGAAATTTCTGGTTGCTATTGAAGCAATGACGTTGTCATCGATGACAAAGGTGAAATTAAGGACACTTTCAAAGTGTTCTTTCCATCGTGATATAATTTCCTTCTTGTCTGTGTGGAGTGTGTTATGGGCAGACGACATAAAAGGTGAAATTCCATTTCCTTGTGGGCTGTCCACAACTTCTTAGCCTTAATAAGATTGATCTTTTCCCCACCCCTTCAATTACTTGTTCTACTATCCATTTACACAAGCTCGCTGTTTTCCTCTGTCTCTCTTGCCTTCAAAATATCCTATGAGTATCAAATTCTCCAAGCTCTCTTTCCTCACTATTTGTCCTAGAAATTTCGACTGTTTCTCGATTATTCTAAGTATAAGCCTCTTTTTGTTGCCATTTTCCTTAAAACTTGCTCGTTACTCACATGTTCAGTTTGTTATTCGCAGCATCATTCTGTAGAATCACGTTCCCGTTTTATCAATTTTTTTTTCTTCATATACTAGAAGCTTGTCCAGCATTCAGTGTCACATAGGAGGATCGATATTAATAATTCAGTGCCTTCTTCTTTGTTTCTAACCAAATTTTCATGTTTCTTGATATTTTGCTTACATTTAGGAAAGCATCTTTACCTATTCCAATGCGCCTTCGATTTTTTCATGTCACATTTTTCGTCCTCTCTAAAACAATTCCCAGATATTTAAGTCATTATATTTGTTTGGTTTTAGTTCTCTAGTCACATCTTAGCCTGCTCTTCTTGCTAACAATTATATTAAAATTAAGTTTATGTTGTATAAAAAAAATAATGTATCTCATTTCATTGTTTCAATAGAATCTCATAACACAGCCGTCATTTTTCAAAGCAATATCGAATCAGTGTAATACTTCTACTTCCTCGTGTCGTGTTTCTTCAGGATTTATAACGAGAAGCCTTCACAAAAACCAACTAAATTTCTGGGATTAGGAGATGTCATTATTTACATTCTGGCTAATGTCTTCATCTTTGTTGTTGTTATCACAACGTTCCGGCCGTTGTGCTCTGTGGCTTTCTTCAAGTGTCAATCAGTCCGTTTAACCTTTACGGAATTATGAACTGACTCCTTTATTTAATCTATAAGGTTCGATTGTTCTCGTTTCCCTAGATATAGATTAAATAAAGGGTTCAGTGTAAAATCTATCGGATCAACAGACTCCTGAAGAAGGCCGGGATGTACATCTATCGGAACGTTGTAGTAATAACAAATATGAGGATATTAGTCCGGATGTAAATAACATAAATAAATCCAGCGTAGTTTTAAACCAGCGACGGCAGTTTCTGAATATTTGTTGTTTGCATTTTAATCCCACTAAAATTTTGCCAATATCTCAGGACAGTTGGAATAAAGAAAGCTGCAGTTCTTGGAATAATTTCAAGAGGACATTTTTATCGCTTTCATGATAGCTCCAAGATTCTTGATAGGATTAGGGCCAAATGTATCTCCTAATCATCTCCCAAATGTATACAAATCAAGAATTTTCCGAATTCTACGCGCCTCCAAATTAGGCCTACGTGATCCATTTTCCTACCAATGACTCAGCCATCACACTAGATAAATGGCAAATACTTACGTTACCCTACAACTAGCATGGCGGGCACAAACACAACTCTTGTTGCAAACTCCAGAGAAAAGTGACAAGACAACGTGAACTATCGCTG